TATTTAGTTTTTTCAACGTTTATTTGCAGCCCCAGTTCTTTCGTTTTATCTAATAGGATTTTAGCGTTATTTATTAGTGTTTCTTTATTATCTCCCAACAAAGCAATGTCGTCCGCATATGTTAATATTTGTGTTGTACCGTTCAACTGCAAACCATCATTACTCTTATCATATGTACATAGTTTATTTAAAATATAAATTTTAAAATTTGTAAAAAATGAGTAATGTAACCTTAATGTTAATACTTTTGAGCGATTTTAACATCACGCGCATGTAAGATTACAGAGGTGAATATTTCTGATCATTTGTGAATGTGGCACGATTATACAAATCAAATTATCGATTTATCATCTACAGCCTTGAAAAGTGGATGTACCCTTAGAAAAATGGATTTTGCTATATAGTTTACATCCACTTTTTCAGAGATAGTAGTGCGCGGCAGCATTTTTTGGTTATAAGTTTTGGGCTGTCATGTCCTTTTTCAGGTTTCTCTGATAATACATGGCCAATCCTGACCCCATGCATATTCTTTTCATGCTCACATTGGTTGCGTTCAGCAGAACACAACAGTTTTGCAACCGTTTTATGCATGATATAATAAGAAAGGTGAACTGTGAACTTCCGGTGGATGTGCAGTAAACTGAAAGGAGCGGGATTAGTCAATCAGAGTTTAGCTAATTTGTCTGATTCAAAATGGCCGACGAAGCAGTCAGTCGTGTTGTAAGCATCATACAAGATAGAAGAGTTATTTTGTGTGTACATATGAAGACAATTTCTATTGCATTATGCCGTAATCATGGAAAGTCAGGGGAAAGTCAGGGAATTTTCTCCCTATCCAAATTTGTAGACGCTCTGGAAAATGTATTATTGACTGGAACAAATTCTTTACAAATTTCCTTACATATAAACCGTTTTTCTTCAAATGCATAGGAAAAGAAAGATAATTCAGGAAATATAATGTTATTTATAGATATTTTTTGTTTTTCACATGTTTAGTTTATTTTATTTTATAAGCTTCGTAACTAGCGCCGAACGAATTGCCTAATTTCTGATTGGTCGAGATTTCGGCCCTTCGCCATTATGCGTAGTTCACCTTTCTTGTTACATCATGGTTTTATGATTGTTTGCTGAGAGGACCATTCCTCTTGATGTAAAAGCATAACCCAATCAGCACGAAGAAAACTTCCAACAATTAAATAAACTTATATTAACAGTAAAATAAACTACTGAACGCAGCCATTGCATTGTTGCATAGTCGTGACAGATTTCGTAACATGAATAGTCGTCAACTTTAAGACTCGTATTCAAAACGTGCTTACAACGATGTTAACGCGCTAACATGCTATAATTTATGTTACGCATACTAGAATTTTAGACATAAAAGCGCGTTCTGAATATGGGCCTAAGGCTTAATAGCAATAGTCTCACCTTCTCTCTTTTAATAAAATTGTGCTTATTCGACTCATTTTCAAACGAAACAACGTGGCAGAAAAAATGCGGCGGTCTACCTTGCGAAATAAGTTATTAAGCATTAAAGTTCGAAACTTTAGAAATTATCAATATATCTGTCATATTGATCGAGGCAAAGGTTCACAATATCTTGGTCACCTCCAATTTTGATAAAAATAAACTCAATCGATGCGTTTATGTATGAAATGAACGAATCTAGCAGAAAAAAAGTGTTGCTCTGCTCCGCGAACCGAGATATTAAGCGCTAAAGTTAACGACCATTGAGGTTAGGAAATCTGTCATAGTTATGAAATACTGCGATGCCAGTATGCGTTACGGTCTCAAATTTGCTATTTTAAAATAAATTCTCTAAAATACAAATTCACTGCTTCAAAAACAAATTTACTGTTTTCAAAACATAAAAATAATATAAAAAAATAATTTGCATTTTTAAAGTAGTAAATTTATTTGTGCAGAAGATTTGTTTAAAAATCGTGAATTTGTGTTTTAGAGCAAAGAACTTGTTTTAAAGTAGCGAATTTGAGACCACAGCGCATTGATTGAAACAGTGAAAGGGAGACAATCTGAATATTAATAAACAAAGAAATTAAAATATAAACATGTGTGTGTGTGTGTGTGTGTGTGTGTATGTGTGTGTGTACACACATATATACCTAAAGTTATTTTAAATTTATAAAATTAAAACAGTAAATTTAAATTAAAGGAAGTATTTAAGAATAAAAGTCCATTTAAGATTGAAAGTTCATTAGTGACACATATAATAACGTCTAATTCTACTTATAAGCAATGTTTTACTTAAAATTGTATATTGCTATATTGACTGTGTTATTTATTGTAAAAAATAATTGCGTTTTAACCACTGGACTAATATATATCACACTTTAGATTAACGGAATGTGTTATCTATCTTATATTCATTTCTCAATTCATATAACAAGAATATATTTTGTTGCACAAAGGATCAATTAACATAAAGAAGTAAATAACATAAAGAAGGAATATTTGTTAAACAAATTTCTAAATATATATCCAACAACCTGTTTACTTAATTATTGGCGGTTTATATAATAATTTAACAATGAAGATGATCTAATATGGAGATTAAAACGTTTGCATTGTTACAATAAACGTATATTAATATTGTTTCGTTAGTCCTTCTTAAATACTTCCTTTAATTTAAAACAGTAAATTTGTGTTTAAAGCAGTGAATTGGGTAATTCTTTAGCAGAGCTACATCTTCTATTTCGATGAAATTAGGTTCATTTGACACGTTTTTGCGTAAAATGAAAGAATCTGGTAGAAAAAAGTGCGGGATTGCTCTGCAAAGCGAAATATTGAGCGTTAAAGTTAACTAAAGTGTTACTATGTAACACGATCATTAATCTGTCATGTGGAGTGTATAGACTAGTGTTTATTGGTTCGGAGCGGCTACACCGCCCCAAACAAAAACAAAATAACATATCCTACCCGCTTGAGGCCTAACCGCCTATATGTTGTAGCCTAGACAGTTTCTGCTTGGAATATTTCTAACTCTTGAAGACAGTGGAGTGTGAGACAGTCTTTTTAGAGCGGTCTTTTTACTATCTAGGCTGCAACTTCTAGTTCGCAGTTGGGCCCCAAGTGGAGAGGATATGTTTTTTTTTGTTCAAGGCAGAGAGCGTAGCCACTTCAAATTAATAAGCACTACTGTCTATACACCTTACTATCCATATGACAGATTTCCTAACCTCAATAATTGTCAACTTTAACGCTCAATATTTCGCTTCACAGGGCAGTCGCGATTTTTTTTTCTGCCAGATTCTTTTATTTCGCGCAAAAACGCGCCGAATGAGCCTAATTTCATTGAAATTGGAGATGAGGTAGCTCTTCTGAAGAATTACCAAATTTGAGATGACGATCGTAAACCTTTATCCTAATCGATACTGTGCCATATATACGTACTTTGGTTACATGCGCATTGCACTGTGATCACAATATTTTGCAAAATTTAATACAAATGCAACACTAGCATTATTAGTTGCATACAACAATGTAATTCTGCGAAAAACACAAATTGCTTTAAATCACAAATTCACTGTGAGCTCTCGTTTATGTACAATTTCAATATTCTTACTTTCGTTCTAATGCTGGGATTAACAACCTCCTCTACCATTGTACTTTAACTTTTTAGTAATATAACATATCGGATAAAAGTGATATACATTCATCGGGTTCAGCCAAAGCCATAGATAATGAACTGTGCTATAGTGCGATCAGCGCGATCTGTGTATCAAAATGGCCGACAAAAATGAAAGGAGGGACCATGGAGGACGGCCAATCTCTATCTCTTTCTATTCAACGCGAAATTTTGATTTTTCAGGCCCCGAGCTTAAAAAAGTTTTGAGAAAAGGATGATGTAAACTGTCTCGTTTGGCCGATGTTGCGCGCCATATTAGTCTAATATTCGGGCTGTGTTCAACTTGCTTTGCGAGTGTTCACATTCGATCATTCATTTTACTTCTAATCGAAGAAAAACAAAAGAACATAGCTCAATTATTTTTATGTACCTTTTTTTACTTAGTTGGAGTAAAACGAAAAATTTTCTATTTACAATTTTGAATAATTTAAATAACATTTATTGTCCATTTTTAAATAAAAACTTTTTTTAAACAAACGATAGATAGGATCGAACAGTATCAAACTAAACATTGAAATCAGCGCCGTATCGGTCACAGTAAGATGTTGAACTACTGACTTAATATACATTCAATAAAATTGAAAGTATATAATTAATTTTTTCAGACATAAATTGAGAGCCGATGAAATTATCGGATTCACACAATAAATCTGAAACTAATAAATCCCCCCAATTTCTTCCCAATCTTAAAACTGTAATAATTTTTATTGCGAAAAAATATTGCCTCGGCCGGGAGTCGAACGTTTAGTCGGTAGTCTAAAGGCTCAGGACGCTCGCACGGAATGCAAGAGATCCGGGTTCGACTCCCGGCCGAGGCAATATTTTTTCGCAATAAAATTATTACAGTTTTAAGATTGGGAAGAAATTGGGGGGATTTATTAGTTTCAGATTTATTGTGTGAATCCGATAATTTCATCGGCTCTCAATTTATGTCTGAAAAAATTAATTATATACTTTCAATTTTATTGAATGTATATTAAGTCAGTAGTTCAACATCTTACTGTGACCGATACGGCGCTGATTTCAATGTTTAGTTTGATACTGTTCGATCCTATCTATCGTTTGTTTATAATACGCAACCTACGAAAATGCGTAATTCTCTCTATATATGTCGATTATTGCGAAGAGTGTTGCTAAGGTCTCGGTAGTCTAAAGGCTCAGGACGCTCGCACGGAATGCAAGAGATCCGGGTTCGACTCCCGGCCGAGGCAATATTTTTTCGCAATAAAAATTATTACAGTTTTAAGATTGGGAAGAAATTGGGGGGATTTATTAGTTTCAGATTTATTGTGTGAATCCGATAATTTCATCGGCTCTCAATTTATGTCTGAAAAAATTAATTATATACTTTCAATTTTATTGAATGTATATTAAGTCAGTAGGTCAACATCTTACTGTGACCGATACGGCGCTGATTTCAATGTTTAGTTTAAAACTTTTTTTATTCAATTAGATTAAAAAATTGCATTTCATATTCAGAATATTGAATTAAACAGTATTCACGTTGCACAGAAATTGCTGATATTATTTTTTAATTTAATTGAATTTAAAAAACTGTATTTCTTATTCACAATTCTGAATTGAGTAGTATTCACGATGCATAGAAAATGCTAATATTTTTAGATTGAAAGACATAGAGATGCTGTATGCAATTCCTATAAATGAATAAAAATGCATTCAGTATTATAGAACAAGTCTAAGCTTCGTCCCTTAGTTCGGGATATTCAAATTATTTTCAATCAGGAAAAATTTTCCTAATATTCATATTAAATTTACTTGATATCCAGCTTATATAGGTATCAAAAATAATGAAACAGATTTTATGGATAAGGAGGCTGCAAGATCTGATATTCCATTTATACTTAATAATAAGGTGGACTATAAACAATGCATTTCGTCAATTTCAAACTGTTATGAAATGTTAACGATCAATTTTTATCATTCATTGATATGAGAGCTGTTAAATATTATATGAAATTAGCGGAATATATTGATTTAAGATCACTTAAAAAAGTTAAAATTAATAGAAGTTTCTTTTTAAATTTAGAAATTTCTTTTTAAAATTAAAGTTAAAAATGATCGAAGTGCGATTGTGGATTTGAATTTCAAGATCTTAATTATATATGTTCGAAATATGAAAATGAAAGTAGAGAATTAATGATAAAATCTTTTTTGATCTTGATGAGATCTTTTTTAGATCTAAAGTTATATCCCCTCTTTTCTCTATGGCTTATGATGTAGTTAAAGTAAATATAAAAGCAATCAAATATATAATTAACTTTTTAAATTTCAATGATTTAAGTATTTGAGTTTTGGATGTTGTACTGTTCTAACAATCTGTTGCCCGAGATGTGCTTCACCCTTCAGGTCACCTGGTGGCGTCAGCTGTGGTTGGATCTCGGAGCTCCATCCTTTGTTATGCGAAAGAATAGCGTTGACTCTGGAAATTAAAGTGACAGGTTGAGTCTCTGGGCGTAGTTGATGCGAGGTCCCGATCTCGTAGCTGCGAGAGAAAGTGACTCCGAGGACACTAACCTTGTTAATTACAACAAAGTAAAAGTGACACTTCCGATTCCCCGTGAAGATTATCACGGGATTTTATACCCAAATTCAATGCATGGTACTGTGACCCTTTTCTTGGGTCGGAAAGTACCAAGTAGGGGCATAAGAAGAAGAACCGGATACCTCCCCGGATAATAATGATATCCAGATATCCGATGCATCCCTAATACAAAGTGTTATTCTTTAACATACTCATCTTGCGTTAAATTAATACAAAAATTTGACCGGACCGTTCGAGACATGTGGAATGTGTAAACAGATTAACACAAACTTTTTTTAATTGTGTATTAAAATTATTTTTCTCAATTTGGTGACAAATTAAATAAAACTATTAAAAAACGTATAAATACATAGGTTCAAAATTATCATTATTTTAATATTATCAATAAATTTAAATTAATTAATAAATTATCGATAACTTATCGACAATATCTCTAAACTCAATACTAGGGTTAAAACATCTGAATCTAATTTTTTAATATATGTATTATTACATACGAATAACTAGTGTTGGCTCACATTGGCATTTTCTTATATATTTATTGTGAGTTTATTTATATTGTAATTCAAATTTTATATTAAATATATTTTATTAAAGATTCAACTGACTCGCTCAACTTCTTGCTTCTTATTCTTCTTCTTTTTCAGTCCAAAGGATTTCAGCCTTAAACGATGTTCAGGCAATCTAGGCAATCTAGGCATCTAAAAAGAGAGGATCTCTCTTTCTCTTACAGGCCAAAAAGTCCATTCAGCAAATTCAAAAATCAAGCTGGAGTATTAACGTTAATAAATCTACTAGAAATAGCAATCCAAACCTAAAAGGAGATTCCGGACCAAAATTCAACAGGAAAATGGAGAGACAAGGACACTCACGAGCATGGCGCAACTTCGTCGCGCGTTCACAGCCAATATTCTCTCTTATACAATCAGGTTGCAGGTGATTTCAAAAGAAACGCAACAGAAATGTGTCTTCACGCGGCCACTCTTCAGAGCAATGCAAAATCTCGAAACCAATAGTTGGGCGCCAGGCACGAGTGAGCGTGCTACTCCTTCTCAAAATCATTCGATATATTCTCTATACAATATTCTAACAAGCTGCGAACGTCGACGGTATTCGTAACATCGTAGCTCAGCCTCGTAAATGGCAGAGGAGGCGGTTCATGATCGAGGATAGGGTATCACTTGGAGAAGCGAATGGACGACGGCAATAAATCAATAATTAATAATAATAAGAGTAACAAATATATTTGATTAATCTCTGACTTTCGTTCGTACTCATTGACAAGATCACGGCGACAATAGTCGATCGAAATGCGTTAATTTAACCTCGCACGGGGCCCGATATACTCTACGGAGCGTATTCATTACTTTCAACGGCACGAGCTCACGCCATATAAGAATATTTCTCGCAAATCGCGTGAACAATAGCTCGACGCCTTGATAGCTGAGATAGAAGACGATTACGGTATTATCACAGATGCGACCTCGTGCTCGCCCGCGAGGTTTCGAACCGTTTTACAGAAAGTCAGAAAGATAGAGTACACGCAAATACCACGATACAAAGTTCCGATACAGCAATGCAACTCGATACGCGACAAGATTTAACAATGACTAGGCTGTGGTTTAGGCGGATGCGGAAAATAACTCTCTGGTAAATCTTATAACGCGAGTCGTCGCGGGAGACGACACACTTAGACGCAAATACCGCGAAAAGCTTAACGCACGACACTTCCGCGTGCGCTATATTAAATCCGGCAATGACATGCGCCTCTCGGACGTGGAAATTGGCGACCTTATAGTTTTGTGGTGCTCGTCTCACCCCGTTGACCCTTCGTACGGCACTCGGCTCTCTCTTAGGCCCTGGATGTCCTTTCTCGGTGCTTTGCCTTCGCTCACAGCACAAGTGCCGCTGATCCTTCCGAGGGCACGTAAGAATCGCTATTTCCACAAGGGGGCCTCGCGTCTAATTGGCGCGTGGCTCTGCGCAAATCGCGTGAGTCGTATCACTCAAGTATCCTGCGCTCTAGCCCGCGGAATTCAACGGGATCGCAGGATCTCCTTCGGCCGCTTAGGAGACTCCCTCGGATCTTTATTCTGCGGGAGATTCACATCTCGATGCCGGCTTCCGGTAGTCGGTATCTCCTCTTCCGATCTCCTCAGCTCCGTCACGGGGCCCGGTACGTGGGCGTAGAGTGGCCATCCCCGGCTGCGGTCCTCGTGATCACTCAGCCATGCGCCTGTAATATGGTGCGATAATAAAAATGTCTCGAACCATAAGCAAAAATATTGAAATGTGAAGCGATATCACCTGCGTGCTACCCGTTTGGTAGGATGCTGGGTGGCTCGGCCAATCCGTCCTCAATCGCTCCTTCTCCGACTTTCAGTCCTGGCCGTCTTCTCTCTTCCTCTATGTTTTGGTGAACCGACGCAAAATTTACAAGGTCGCAAGGGGATCGCCAATTATCCTGTAAAACTCGCGATACGATAACGCACGAAAAGAAACGATAAACCGATGCAGAAAAGCATAAACAAAATGAGACAAACGCGAAATATACGAAATGACGCTACGAGAGTGCGCAGATACGTCCGCTTTCTAAAAAGTGGAAGGACCCAGGACGCTAGAGCTGCGCTATTCGGTCGAGTCTTACGACTCTTGTGACGGATGGAAAACGTCACGTCACAATTCATAGACAGGACGCAAATATGTGCGCGAAAAACAAAGACAATTCAGAATCAGATTTTTTCCTATCACGGAGGAGTCAGTGATCTAGATACAGAAGGCTATATGCTCAGAGGAGCCTTAATTCATTTTTTTCTAATAAATTGCAAATAAAATTTTTTCTTAACATCTTATATCTTTCTTTATTATTTTTTACCTCTATGCTCCATTTGTATTTTAATAGCAAATAAAAATGTTATGCATGTAAACATATCCAGATATATTTGTTCAAAATTTACTAATTACTTCCATTCTATAAATGAGGAGCAGACTTTCAAAATGCGTTTTGTCTAAAATTTGTAATTTTCAAAAAATGAGAAAGAAAGAAACTATGCACACAAGAAAACTACGCACTTTATAAAATATAACAATATATCAATTAGTAGAATGTAAAATATTAAACAAAATTGCTTTAAACAGTTATTAAAAATATTAAACAAATGCATTTTGTTTTTTTTCTAGTTAAATATCTATGATTTTTCAGAATATAAATTAACGATGAAAAAAATCCTTTCTGTACATCTCAGAGTAATTTATAAGTCATTCAACACTAAACACTATCTTTAACTAAAAAAATGAAATTCTGAATAAAATTTTAAAAGTCTGCTCCTCAAATGTGTACAGTAGAAGTCAGAACTAAAAATAAAAAGACAAATCTCTTTTGGCGGAATTTTTGCATATATTTATGAATATGTAATTAATTTCATACTATAATTTTTTGACGAAGTTTTTTATTACAGAGACTTATTCCTTAGTATCTGTAAACTTTACAGAGACTTATTTGCTGGTATCTGTAAACTTATCAATGGATTTGAAGCGCGAGCTAGATATCTTGATTTAACAGTCGTTGCTCCTGACACAGAATCTCTATCAAATTTTCTTTTTTTTCTTCCTATTCCCATGACTTTCCTCAAAGTGGGTGGTATTATATATTCAGGTACATCTTTTAAATGTGGTTGAAGTTTTACAGTATGCAACGTCTTGTCTTGCCGTAATGATTTCAAATCTCGTGGATTATCCTCAAAATAACTTTTTAGCTTTTCACAATTTATAACTTCTTGTTTAATTTCTTTCAATCGCGCTTCTCGAACAGCAATCCTTGTAACGGCTTTCCAAGCATCTTTCGCACGATATCTAAAATTATCATAATTTCATAAAATAAAACAATCAGCGTTAAAAATAATTCTAAAAAATTTAAATAAATTAAAAAATAAAGTTTGTTTGAAAAAAGTATGTCTCTCTCTCTCTCTCTTACAAAAAAAAATCTTTATTATATTCAACAAAATAAAAAAAATCAGATTACATACCGAAAGCCTTCCATTTCTTCCAATTTAAACTGATAAATTTTAAATAGATTCTCACAATTGTAAGAGTGCTTTAATTCCTGTTCTACTTCTTCCATTAATGATTTTTCCTTAAGAGCTACGAAGCTAAGAACGGTTCCCTGGTTCTTTCCACGAGCAGTACGCCCTGCTCTGTGTACGTAAGAATTTAAATTCAATGGGAAGTCAAAGTTGATTACATTGGATACAAATTGAAAATCGATGCCACGTGCTACACCAGATTCCTTGTCTTTTTTTCGTTTACTTTTTTCCATTTTTATCACATGCGACTGTAAAAAATAAATACATTTAAAAAATGATACAAATAAAATATACTTCATTATAACATACATGGAGAGAATTTTCTCTTAAAATTCATCTTAAAATTCATCGTAGGATAACGATATGATATTTCGAAGAATTTTATGTGTTTCTCTCTGATTTAATGTTGCCATAATAAAATATATGAATCCGTATTATAAATCAAACTAATCAAGACTCCTTATAAATCAAAGAACTGGAAAGGATACAGGCAGTAGAAGTCAAGCGCAAAAGACGTCGCGCAAATAATATATCTATGAAGTGTGAAACTTCTTTATTCACTAAAACGCTCTTACATGTTTCGACTCACTTTTGAACCCTCCTCAGAGACAATACAAACTAACATACATAAACTGTGAATAAAAATTATTCTGTCATGGTGAGCTCCCCTACCTCGAGAATTTAAATACTAGAATTAAACCCAAAAAGAGTGAAAGAAAAAGAAACAAGAAAAATGAATGAAAAAGTGTCGTTTGTACGCAGTAATGAGTCTTTCTGGCGTGATTTTTGATTACTTTTTAACTTTCATTTTCATGGAATTGATTAACGTTCCAATGCAAAATTTTTCATTTGTAAGCTTCAATAATACTAGCTAAAACTAAAAGTGACTCACTGTCTGACACTGACTGGCCAAAAAAAAATATGGAGAACCGATTTTTGAATAATTTATAGTAACGTTTGCGATATAGTTTGTGATTTGTGATCAGGGTGAGCGTTCTTATTTTCGGGATATTTAATTATAATCTTAAGATTTTTGATAAATTAGTTTTTCAGATTCTCTATTTCGATATTTCCATTATTTCCTTTTTTTCGTTCATTTTTCTTTTTTCTTTTTTTTTCACTCTTTTTTGGGTTTAATTCTGGCATTTAAATTCTCGAGGTAGCGAAGCTTACCATAACAGGATAATTTTTATTCAGTTTATGTTAGTTTGTGTTGTCCCTGAGAAGGGCTCAAAAGTGAGCCAAAACATGTAAGCGCGTTTTAGTGAATAAAGAAGTTTCACACTTCATAAATATATTATTTGCGCGACGTCTTCTGCGCTTGACTCCTACTGCCCGTATCCTTTCTAGTTCTTAAAATATATGAAATACGTTTAATTAATTTTACTAAAAGTAATGTTTCAATAATTTGAAAATATATTGAATAGTTTATGACTCTTTGTTTTAAATAAAATAGATGTGTACTTATTAGTAATAAACATGAAATATCTTACATAAATTTCACAATGTAGATTTGTAATTCTCGCGCGAACTAGGATAATACAGACCGACAAAATTTAGGGGGGGATCTTGTGCTTTGAACTTTGAAAGATGTTTCCGTAGAATTTTGATATGCTGAAAAACGACTACTCCGACTTATCCGTTTTTTTTTCTATCACCCTCCATTTTTTTAAAGAATCGCAAAAACAGTTTTATCCAAAAATAATTTTTTATTAATTTTTTCCGACTAAACAAAAATAATATTGAGATCTGTTTTGCGGCATTTAACTCAGAAATGTTCCAACAATACAATAAAAATATTGTTTTAATACTTATAAAAATGTTTTATGCAAATTACAAAAAATTTTGGAAAATTGTAAAGAATCGAAAAAAATTGACAAATTT